GGGGAACTATTATATGGTGTGAGGGTATGATGCACCTGAATTAAGAGAGAACTTGCCATTATCCAACACAGAGATGGGGAACCTCTTGCCCTCTGGGTGTTTTTGGACCTTCAGGTGATAGCAATTACTAAGGCCACAACCACACCATACATTTAAAGCACTGCAAGACCACTTTAAAGAGCCGTGGCTTCCGCTCCAAAGGTCCTGGGAACTGTAGCTTGTTAAGGAAGCAGCTGAGAGTTGTTAGGAGAGCCCTATTATCCTTACAATTCTGATGGTCCCTTAGGAAGAGGGGTCAATTGTTAAACCACTCAGAGGACTGTAACACTGTGTGGGGAACAGGAGTCTCCTAACAACTCTCAGCACTTTTAACAAACTACAATTCCCATAATTGTTTGCAGGGGAGCCATGATTGTTTAAGGTAGTAGCTATCTGAACTAGTCAGGCACTTCCTATAAAGGCACTGTGAACTCCAGTATGTTGAATTTCGTTCAACTAATCAGAACTTTAAATCTAAAGACACATTACATACAGATGCTTAACTATTGTAATATGATATTGGAGATATCATAGCCTTGCCTCCCATTCATCCAAACACCTTATGACATTCCTCTAGTAGCAGAAGCTTCAAAACAAAACAAAAGCCCACCTGATTCAATATTCTGAACCTACTACTTCACAAGCCTGTCTCACCTTTTACTTGGCGCAGTGTATCAAATGTATGAGGGTGAGTCTGAGTGCAATTGCACAAATTCAGCATTTATTAGGGGAGGGGGGAAATCTTCCTGAGCTTGCAGTTCCAAAAGGAGGAAGATGGAGAAATGTGTGCAGATTAGTTCCAGGATAGCAGCTAGGGACAAATGTGAAATGAAATGAAATCAGATGAGTGCTGATGCAGACATACCTTAAAAATAAGCCTCCCCAGGTCTTTCTTTTTGCTTTTTGTAGGCCAGCGCTTGAGAGAATGAATGGAAGTAGGGGATCGTGTCATCTAATTGCCGCATTGTTTACAGCATTGTTGAATTGTTGTAATGTGTTGCTACAGTGCTACAGTACATCTTATTTCTTCTCAAAGAGAGTCCTTGGTGTATTTATTTGTTCTTTCCATTAAGTGGCTTAGGCTGAAACTCCAGAGTAGCATGGCATGTATTAAGTGCAAGGGCTAGACCTAGAAAGAGACTGTCAGCCACACAGAGCTGCTGACTGCTATTTTATCCTACCACTGCAGAGCAAAGCATAGAGAAGCATACTTGGGCAGCCTACCCTATCTCCCTCTCCATCCTATGCGAGGTGGGCAAGGGTGTATCCTGGAAGCTTTGGGGGCTGGTCTATTAGGGCAAATGGGGCACTGCTCCACCAACCTCAGTTTGTCCTCAACCTGATGCCACCTGCCTGACTTCTTAACTACTGTACATCCAGTCCAGGGGCCGGTGGCACTAAGAATGAGGGCAAGGTCATGGGCGCAACAGACCTGTACAAATTACTGCTGGTGGCTGTCAGTTTCAGAGACTGTGTGTCTTAAGAAGCAGCTCTGGCTGGAACTTGCAGGACTTGACGTCTCCCTAATCCAGAAATATCATACTTGATATCCAACAGTCATAGTGGATACTTTGACAGGATTTCGGTGATGACCACCAGCATTTCATGACAGATGTCAACCAGTCTGAGAATATTTGATTGCTGATTTCATGAGTGCCTGTCAGTCTTCCAGTCTTGGCAGCAAGCACAGAGGAAGTCCTTTAAAGCTATTCACAATACATTTACTTTGAATGGTAAAATTGTTCATTTGACATTTCTTATCACAATCAGAAAATTAGACCTGACCTTCTGCGAACAAATTTCCAGAAATGGAACAAGGAAGGGAAATAGGTGAGGTGTTTTCTTCCCCCTTCCCTCTTTCTCCACACATTGCATAAAACTCAGCTTGCCCGACAAACAGGAAGGCAGGTGAGTTTATTTGTAAGACTTTGGAGCCACACAGCTAACCGAAAAGATTGACCTGTTAGTGACTTTGGTATAATTCTATTTGCCCCTGTTTCTCACATAGGTCATGGTTGGGCATAATGATTAGTCATGGTGTGGAATGGGAGGAAGAATCCACAAGATCATCTGCTTACTCATCAGTAGCCTGCCAACAATCAGCTTGAAGGAGCTGCTGTTGGGCAAGGTTGAGGCTGGCAGGATACTGCAAGCATTTAAGCCTCAGAAGAAGTTATAGAAGGGAGACAGAAGCCAGAAGACGAAGACAGAGGCCACCTCTTGGGAGAGGAAGGTGGCAGGAGGTGGATAAGGTGAACCTGAAGGATTTAGGAACTTTTGGGAAGGGCCAAGCTGTCTCCTCCCACCAGCAAAATGAGTTTGGCTACTGCTGCCTTTCAGTAAGATGGAAAAGCTGTCAAGTGACAGTCACCTTAAGAGTCTACCAATGTCTTCGCTTGGGGCATGGTTCGCTCTAGATCTGATGGCCTAACATGAAGTGACAGCAGGTGACATGATTTGGCTTTTACTGATGGCATCGCATGGCAGCAGCATACCTGGTGGTGGCTTTTCACCACTGCAGTCATCACCGGCAGAGGTGTGGGTTGGTGACATCTTACACCTGGGCCTACACTTGATGCTTCTGGTCTGTCAGCAGCCACAAGCTTGAACAGTGCTGTTCTATTTTATCCAGTGCTATTTTTCTAGAAAAAGAGGTTGTAGAACTCACCATAAACATCTCCCATGTTCTCTTATAATGGCAATGATGCCCACCTGAGAGATGCCGGAATTGAGTCCCAGTGAGTTCTGGCTGAAAAAAGCCCTGATTTTATCCTGCCTTTGCTCTTGCTATACTGTGGTCACTAATAGGCTGTACTCCCACTCTCCATCATTCGGTGATGACCAAGTACTGCCCACCTTGCCACCTGCTGCTGCTAACACAACTATGTGTAATAAGGACTCACACTAACAAAGCCTCTTTCTGAGCGGTTCCTTTTTCCTCCTCATCCTTTGCTTTCTAAGGGAGAAACGCTAATTGAAATTCATGCTCTTGGGCCCTATGAACCATTCAGAAGAATAAAAGCACTTAATCGCTTAATGAAATTATTGTCTCCAGAAGCGTGAAAAGGGAAAAGGGGAAGAACATAAACTATTTTATAGGAAACCCTTTGAAAACACATCTCACTGATGTTTCCATTCCTTTGTGGACTTTGTAACTCAATATGTTCCTTTCTTCACACTCCTTTTACAAAGAGTGATTGCTAATGCTATTGATATATTTCTCAGCTGTACTATTTGGCAATCATATACCACCTTGGGCTACAATCTTGCATGCTAAAGAGTCCAGCTTTTGCATTCTACCCAAGCTGGGTGAGGGGGCGGGTGGAAAATGATATAAATTTGCAATTTGGCACCCCCCCCAAACAACAACACCCCAAAATAGCAACTCTTGGATGTGCATTTCTATTTGCAAATTTGCAGTCTGAGGATTCAAGCAAATCACGCCCCCACCCCAGCTAGAGCATTTTGTTTTTAGAATGATAGATACACCAAAGTTCCATATTCATATTGCAGGAAAAGATCGGTTTGTAGCAGGAAAGAAGCAGCCCAAAATGTTGTTGTTATTATTAATTAATTTATACAATGCTTAAATGCCAAATGCTTAAATGGATAGTTTAAAAAGTGGGTTAGATAAATTCATGGAGGATAACCTTATCAGTAACTACAACCATACTCCACCTCCCTGCTCAGAGGCAGTGGTTATTTTTATTTTTATTGTTATTATTTATTGAATTTATGTACCGCCCTATACCCGGAGGAATAAAGGCAATTCACAGAAAAGATCAACATAAAAACCACAATATATATTGCGTGGCAAGTACCCTCCCCCTTGTGAAATGAAGACACGGGACACATTATTTTAGGTTAATGGGCAGAAAAAGGCCACAACTTCCATGGCCATCTGGTTAGTCACTGTGAGAACGTGGTGATGGCCTAGCTGAGCTACTGTCGTGACCCAGCATGGCGTCTGTGTAACCAGAAGTGGATCAGAATCATCAGAACCAGAATCATCAGGCTGCAGCAGCCTAACCAGGTTGAACTTGTTGATCCTAATGCTCTCATTGCTACCTCTCCTGTTTCATCATGCACAGGTCCTCAGTATATCAGGAAACTCTCTAAGGACACCTGGGAGTGATCATGTTGATGACATTTTTCATCCTGCTATTGCAAAGTGAGACCAACCACAGCAACTGGAAAATCCCCCAGAGCATTCAGAAATCCTTCTGATTCCATTAGTCTCTAGGGGTGGGCCATTTCAATAGGTCCTCTATTCCGGCAAGGGGGCTGGGATGTGGGTACCATTACAGCCCATCTAAACCTTACTAGGACCAAACCATAATGATAAGACAGTTCACAGTATTAAGACAGCAACATGACAACAGTGTGCTTCATCTTCATTCTTATGCAAAGTTATGCAGTTTTAATCAATTAAACAATCCATTAGAACTCATACGATTAATCAGCGAAGATTCCTTTAATGAGGGCGGCAGTCTGAAAATAAAACATTTGCCCACGAAACCACAACTCCGCCATTTTGTCCTCCTCAATTGGTGAAGGATTATAGTTCACTTGCAGACCATGCAGAAGGTTCCAGTTTCAATCCCTGGCATCTCCATGTAGAGCTGGGAGAGAGCCCTGCCTGAAATTCCTTAGAGCTGCTGCCAGTCCATGGAGACAATACTGAGCTATATGGACCCATGGTCTGACTCAGAATAAGGCAGCTTCCTGCATCTCCCACGCTTATCAAAAGCACTGATGACAAATCAGAATGGCTGCTTAACTTTACACAGAAGGGGCCATTGGGATGCTTCTGTACTCAGGAGATTTGTAATGTTTCCTCCAACCTTCGACCATCAGATAAGAGAAGTCTCTTCTCTAACTGAATCTTCTGGACTTGAAACTGATCTCTAGCTTTGGAGTAAAAATAACCAACACCCCAAATGCTGTTTCTGTCTCCACAGTGAACATAGACATGGCGTTAATGCCGGCATCTGCAAGAAGACTAGTGGAAGCTTGTCACATTGCAACATCTCCAGATACCACACGTTTTGCAGTTGACTGGCTGGGAGTAGAAGTCACCTGGGCCACTCTTGGGATCTTTGGGATGGGCAGCATTGGGTATAACTTAGCGAAGAGAGCAAAAGCTTTTGACATGAACATCCTTTGTCACAACAGGAACCACAGAAAAGAGGGAGAAGAACAGGCAATTGGTGCCACTTATTGTAAAAACATAGAAGACTTGCTCCAGCAGTCTGACTGTGATGTTGGTTGTGAATCTGACATCTGAGACACACAAGCTCATTGGGAAAAGGGAGCTGCAGCTGATGAAACCCACGGCTACTCTCATCAACATCTGCAGAGGCGCAGTAGTTGATCAAGATGCCTTGGTAGAAGCGCTCCAAAATGAAGTTATTAAGGCTGCAGCTTTAGATGTGGCTGACCCTGAACCATTGCCAAGGGATCACCTCTTATTGCTACTGAAAAATGTTATTATAACTCCTCACATTGGAACTGCAACTGTGCAAGCCCTGCTTATGATGACAGAAGAAGCAGTGGCAAATATACACACTGTTCTCAATGACCTCCCCAGGGAAGTGATCACCAAATAGTTTGATGGAGAACATTAATAATCAATGGCTGATCTGCAAAGTACACCAACTGCTAAGTAACAATGGAGTATGAGAATCAAAACTCATCCTAGCTTTCATTTATGGCCTCCCATATTGTAACCATTTTCTGCAATTATATTCTTATGTAAAAGAACTATGTATTTTGTGTTTTTATATTGCCATTTTATCTTGTGAACTGCCCTGAGACCTGCAGGCACAGTATAGGGCAGTATATAAATTAAATAAGTAAATAAATAAATAACTAGTTGCTGAGTATGTAGACATCTGCAAGAAGCATTATCTGTGCTCACGAGCCTTGATCCAAATGTTCCACCTTAATAAGAGAATCACTTTGAAGTGAGTGCCAATCTCCGCCTGGTTGGTTTAGCAGCCCTTTGGGAACTTATCAGAGCCAGCATCCTTCCTTGCTAAATATATGAAGGGCAGAGAGCTGGCCAACAACACATTTCGCTGAAATACCTGGTGCCATTACAGTCAAGGGGGTTGGGGTAGCGGTGGCAATTATGCCATACACATGCAACTCTTGTTATTCCAGCACAGCCACCTAGAGGCCTTGGATCTGCTCAACAGATGACATATTAGCCCTCTACTGGCAGTCCAAGACAAAGTAGAATAATGATGGCCAGTGTGGTGTAGTGATTAGAAGGTTGGACTATGACCTGGAAGACCTGGGTTCAAATCCCTGCTCAGCCATGAAGCTCTCTGGTTGATCTTGGACCAGTCTACCTCTCTCAGTCTAACCTACTTCAAAGAGTGGTTGTAAGAATAAGATTGTGCAACCCAGGAAGGGGAATAGGGAGGTGGAGAGTGATGTTGTACCTACGCACAGGTGCATCTCTTGCTTCTGTGCTCACCTGGCTGCATCCTTCCCGCCTAGTAGGGATGGATGCATATGTCAATTTCAATTTGCAAGCCTTCAGTTCACCACATTTTCACATCAGTTCGCAATTTAAAAGAAAAATAAACATAAAAAATAAATAGCATTAAGGTGCATTTTTTGTAATAGACACAGTTTTATATGGAGCTTTGCATGTATGCATATTTCGGGAAGCAATTTCCCCACGTGTGATGGTATTTTCACAAATATATACATTTTTCAATGGAGGCTTTCTTCTAATGCGTGCATTAATATATGGATGGAGACTTTCACTGCAAAATTTGGAGCAGGGCAAATTTTTGAAGGATGGCTGCATTTTGATTCATGTATTGTTTTGGAATTGTGATTTAGGTACTGCATATCTAGTGCTATTTTTTTTAGGAAAAGAGGTGCCTGAACTCACCATGAACACCTCCCATGTTTTCCTATAATGGCAATGGCACCCACCTGAGAGGTGCCGGAACTGAGTTCCAGTGAGTTCCCACTAGAAAAAAGCCCTGGGTATATCCACATTCAAATGTGAACTGAGTTGAATTTCTCCTCCTCCTCCACCCCTGCTGCCTATTGTGGATGGAAGTGTTAGTTTCTGTTTCTCACTGTGCAGCTGCTTGCAGTCACAGGACTGTGTTTACATTCCAGGGATTCCAGGCTACTGGAGTCTCATGGGAAAGGGAGATGGGATGTGACGTTACTGGTTTCCTGTTTCCTTTGTTCAGTTGCTCTCTGCTCTCATAGAGAGAAGATGTATATTTCTTTGCTCTCTGCATAGCTTAGTAATAAAGCATGACGTGTAGCTCATACCTATCTCATCCTTCTGTTGTGTTGTTTTGATGCTCTGCTGGGTGGGCTCGGAGGAAGATGAGCCTTATCAGCTTGGAGGACTGGAGCTGACAACAGGAAGCTGGTGGGATGTAAATGGCAAAAGAAAAAGGGAAGCAGCTCTATACCCACCGCAGCGTGAAAGCTGTAGCGTCTAGTGGAATAGTAATGACTGGGTAATGCTGAAAGCTTCTGATATGGGACCGTTCTGGGAGGCCCAGTTGCATGCATATGAAGTGCAAGAACACCTGGGCAGATCAAAGGTCTCTCTCTCACACAGAGACAGCCTCCCTTCCCTAGTTAGGCTCTGAGCCTCTGCCAACTGCTGCCAGGAACATGGGTTAGGTACATCGAGACTCTCCACATGACATCTTCATCAGCATGGCAAATCCCTTTTTTAAAAAGACATTTGTTTCAAGGATATTCATGGCCAGCACATTCAAACATTCCAACTAGGAGTGGTGAACTCACCCCACAGGCAGGCTAATTTTAGCAGCACCCAACAGGGTTCATTTCATGTTCTCAAAACTCTGCCATAATTTCTCGGTCCAGTGAAGCCCTCTTGCTCTTGGAAAATGAATGCACCTGTCCAGGCACCTGTCTCCCGGGAGAGCTTTGGGGATGCCACAGAAAAGGTCCTGTTTCCTGGGGATGCCAGTCTCACCTCCATACTGTATATGATAGGACCTTTAGCAGGGATAAAATGCTTGTAAAAAGAAGTTAATTTCTGATGCATGTAGACTGAATTGAGACAATGTTTTGCTATTCTACTATAGGTATAAAGCAGCCAAGGGTGAGTTGGTGTGGACAGCATGGTGTTGTTTACCTACCATCCCAAAGCTGCACATTGCTGCTGGTTCCTGAGATGGGGAGGGGCAAGGCAGCACAGAGCTCAGTGAGATGTGGCTGCAACATTGGGAGCATCAGAATGGCTCTGCTGCTGTGCCCAAATCATGCTGTGCACTCTGCTACCTTCACACTCTGCTGTGCACTTTGCTACTCTTTCAGTAACTAGCAGCAATGCACAGTGTTGGAAAGCCAAGTGAGCAATGTGTCCTGCTCACATCACCACTTAGAAAAAAATGGGAATGTGCACATTAAAGTAGATAAATAGAAAAACATTCTAAGCTATGCAGAAGAAGGTTGGAGACTTCTTTTGCCTGAACCCCTTTTTGCAAGGATAGGGGTAGAAGGATCTGTCCATTTTAACATTCTCACTTTCCCATTTTTCCAATCTGAAATTCAGTTCACATTTCTGTAGCAATTTGTGATTTTTTTCCCTTAAAAAAACCACACTCATGAAAAGCATTTTAGTGTTTATGTCTCCTAATAAACCCATTTTTGTATGCAGTTTTGACTGATGTCTAAATTTTTGCAAGCAACGATGCATTTTATATCTTATTTTTCTAAGCATGGCTTGGTTGGAGAACTTCATCACAACATTCAGAGAAGTTTGGATTTCAAAGGATAACTGTGTTTCGGTTCTCATATTGTTTTGGAAATTGTGGAAATTGACAGAGTCACTTTTGAATAAGAACTGAATCAAATTTCCCCCCGTTGTCTAGCAAGCATGAAAGCGTTGCAAAAGGACATGCAGGTTGCAAAGCAAAGTTCCTGGCTGGAAAGTTTGTGGCTTGTTAAAGGTGTGAGGCTTCTCCTTGTCAAAACATATTCAATGCATGTGGTCAAATGACTGCCGGGAGCTAGTGCAAGCCACCTTGGAACCTTCAGCAAATGTGATTTGTGTTAGACATGATGTCTCTATAGGTTAAAAATACCATGCCTGCTCAAACGTGTTAAGCAGGGGAACGCAAGCATCGGAAACATTATGCAAGTTGCTGCAGTTGTTAGACATTTAATCAGATAAAGCTCAGCTGGCTCTGTCTTGGGCCTCTTCTGAGAATCTGGCTCCCCCCACCGTGTTTATGAAGGAGGAGAGCGCCATCTGTCATGTATGCTCATTAGCTGTGCAAGTGTGACTGCCATTACTTTGAAGGAAACTGTTGGGTGATTCCCTTCAGGAAACAGCAGCAACAACAAAACAGCTTTCGTTACACTTTGCTGCCACCCAACAATTCAGGGATTCAGGCAATCTGTGGACAAACGCTGGCTCCCTCGGCCTGAAGTGAGATGAGCGCCACACCCCATAGTCGCCTTTGACTGGACTCAACTGACTAGTGGTCATTTACCTTTTACCTTACAGTCTGGAAATGGCAGCTGGGCGGTGAGATGGTCACACTCACAGAACAGAAACATTGTCCATCTCATCCCAGGGATGGGGAATCAGGAGATTTGTTTGCAGGACATTTTGGCAAAAAATGAAAAAAGGTTCCTTGACAAACAACTGTTTTATTTACAAGAAATACAAATCAGCCTGAGTAGCTTAACCACCCATGTTCTGGCCATAGTTCTACTTCATTGGTCTGTAGCAAACACATATAAATAGAAAACACATACCAAAAAAATGCCTATTCAAAATACTCCATACAATAGGAACAGAAGGAAATAAATTTAAATGTGAGTGACAACACCTGTAAACAAAAAAAAATGTTATGGTGAAAATGTTGTAAAATAACTAAAAGACCATTAAAACAAACCAATGCATGTATATGTGAACCAACAGAGCGTGAGTAATGATATATATTCTGCAGAGCTGAATTGGTGCATGTAGAAATTTTTTTTCCTAGCTTTGAAGCAGCCTGCAAAAAAATACAGTAATCCAAAAAGGTACAAACACACACAAATAAATGTGTACACACATATTGAATCTGGGAAATTGCTATGTACCAGTTATTGTTGCTGGCTGTCTTGAGAGACAATGGAGTGCACCTCTGGGGGTGAAGCCAAACTGCTGCCTTAGCAGCACTGAAGTGACCTCCTTGAGGCACAAGCCTGGGCAGGATGTATGGAGGTCCTGAGCTGCCCAGACAACAAGAACCCCATCTTCCAGATGAGGTCCAA